AATATCATTTAAAAGTTCGTTGAGTTGTTATTTTATATGTTAAATTGGTAGAAATATTATATTAAATATATTTTATTTGAAACAAAATATTAATACATTTAAAAGTTCTATTGAGTTGTTATTCTATATATTAAAGTGTTAGAAATATTATATTAAAATGTTTATAATCACGTGCAATGCACGTGATACTAACTAGTATTCCTAAAAGAGGCTTCTAAATTAAGTATYGACTTAGATCAAAAGGAAACACTTTAGTTTTTGAGGTATGGAAAAGAGTTTTAAATGTTCCCTGAGTTAAGTTGAACTTTTAACTAACAAAAAAAAAATGAGGTCATGAGTTAAGACTTGGATGAACCACTTTGTAACTTGGCATTTGAGCTTGATTCACCAGAGTAAAATGTTAATTACTAAGGGTAAAATTGTAAAAAGAAACAATAATAGCTGTGTATGAAGAAAACATACCATTTCTCTATCCAAAAAACCATCCATATCCCTTCTTTATCATTTTGGATGCCCATGCGTTTATTGATCCTTGGATATCAACTCTCTGGGAATATGTGATTAATTACTACATTTTTAATGGCTTCTTAGAGAGGATTTGGAATGGCTTTTACAACAGTTTTTAACTAATTCAGAGTATTTATCAAGGTTTTCAATTAGAAATATATGTACAATGATGCATATAATATATCAAGGTATATATATAAAACTTATATATATATAATTAGAATTAGTGTATGTGACATACTTGAGTCACCCAACAAAAGTTATTGATCTCAAAGGTATTTCGTGATAATTAATAACAAAAATGATCGAGTTTTATTCTTTTAGATTGGAGGACACATTATTATTCTTGTAGATTGAAGTATATTTCTGTATAGTTAAGACTTGGACTCCGGGTTTTTTTCGTATGCACTTATTTGTTTGTTTATTCTTTTTCACGTTTTTCCTAAAAGTTAAGATTTTCATCAAAACTATTAGATATATTGTAGTTTATAATTAAGCAAGAATTGTAATTCAAAAATTATTGATACGAAAGAACATTTGGAACTCAATTAAAAGTCATTCCATAAATACTTTCTGAAGTTGAATATTCCAAATAACAAATCATCTTAAAGCAACATTTTTTTTAACGGAAACAAATTTTCATCGATGAAATGAAAAATTACACGAGTATCAACAAATTACAAAGGACATGAAAACCAGTACGCAGCCTTGGAAAAATAAAAATATATATATACTAACCTACAAAAATCATAAAATAGATGCCATTACCAAAACTTTGCATATAACAAATGCCTAGATTGCAAAAGTTTAACATCTACTTCACTTCTACAAGACAAACCTATATGCTTGCATCTCCAAAAACAATCAATTAAAGGACAAATTAGGCGACAAGTGTATAATCCAGAAATCGTTGATAAGCTTGCAGTGTCATGTGTGTAATATCAAGGTAAGTGTAGTCCTCAAGCGGCAGTCCGATTGGCAAGAACTTGAAGTTTCTTAATCATACTGGCTTAGAAGTCTCAAGTTCCACCATTCTAGTGAGCTTAATACCAAAACCTCTAGATATCTTTCCAATCCAGGCCTTGGGGCAGGTGCGGGTGCGCTTGAGTGTAAAAATGTTATTACCAATTCACCAAATTCCATATTTTTTAGCCAAGCTCTCGTATATCATACGTAGACAAACTCTAGCGCTTAGGTGATGTCCAGAAACTGCAAGAAAGAATAATTCAAGGAAACCATATGATTACCTATTAATTTATGTTTAGAGAAAAATGGAGCCAATGTAGATGCATCTAAGTTGTATGCAAATTTCACATATTTTTTGTTTTTTCTATCTTCGCGCCTCATGATAGCTCTAGAGGAGCATTGCACCTTAGTGAACCTCACACTTTTATTTGATGATGTTATATTTAATTTTATTGTAACATAATAAACAAGTAGTCTTCAATCATCATTTGAAACTCTTTTTGTTATTTAAAAAAACAAATAGAAGAGTTTCCT